CAGTATTTCGGCTTTCGTGTGATGAGATTTTTTGACAAAATCGCTAAAAATTACACAAAAAAACGCATAAAATTTTGATAAAATTTATTTTAAAAAAAAGTCTGACTCGTATGCAAATTTTAAGGAAAGGAAAAAATATAACGGTGGCGCCCTCGTTTGAGTTAAAAAAACTACCACATAATCGTGAAAAAATTAATTTATTTCTGTTAAAAAATAATGTATTAAAATGCCATAAATTATTTTTAAAATATTAAAATAATTTATGACATTTTAAAACTTAACTTTTATATACGTTAACAAAATGTAGGATAAGCTAAACAAGATGCAGTCTAGGACCTCATCTACCGGAATACAATTTAGGGATTTATACTTTGCATTTTATTACTATTTGATAAAAGGATCAAGGGCTTTTTAGACTTTTATAGAGTGTGTTAAGGCAAGGCTATTTTACAACTTAGGATTACAAAAAAGTAACCCATTCCTTCCTATATATAACAACGAATACTTTAGGATTAAATTACGAAAAGACTTCAGAAATATTTCTTTTGCATCTATTTTTTAAACATTTAAATGAATATTTTTATGCTATTTTATGGTAGTTTTTTTAAAAAAACTCTCTCCCTCTCTCTGTCTTTAACCCCTTTAAATGATGAGAGTGAAACCTCACCCGAGGCAAACCATTCAGACAGACTGTAAATAACATTTCTGTTCGTAAATTTACATAAGTATTTTAAACTTTTGAATATGAATTTATTAAATTATTTACAGAAAAATGAGGAAAAAATTTACTAGACAAAATTTTTTCTATATTTAATTCATGGATATTAAAATATTCATGGATTTAATCGTAACAATGTTTAATGTGTTCGTATGCTAATTGAATGATTGAAAGTCTGTTGTTGTATTCATGAATAATGAGACAACTTATATGAATTATAACTCTTGTATATGTAAATTTTTCTAAATTTTATATCAAATTTTGAAGCTGTAATATTATCAAGTTATTATTATAAAATTGAGCGTTTTTTAAGCATCTTTGAAACTCCTAAGAAGGAACATTTTCTAGGATTTTCTGCTCTTTTTTTTTAAATTATGTTCCTTTATTTTAATAAAATAATAAAATAAAAAAAATTTTAAAAATTATTTTATCAATATAATTTTTCTAGAAAAAAATATATAAAATAAAATAAAAAACAAAATTGCGGAAACAGGACTAATTCCCTAATTCACTAACAGAATTAGACAAATCGCAGGATTAACAGCTATCTTACTGGTAAATACAGAATTACCGATTTTGCGTTCCACTATTTTAAGATTAGGCGTGATCTTTAGTCACTAATCTCGCGTAGTTTGCATAGTGCATAGTCTGAGAAATTTTCCACAGAATTCTATTTGTATAACAATCCTGCAAATTAAGTGAGAATTCTACTTGTGTTTATCCTATCAGCACATAGCAGTGGCGGATTTACCAGAAAGAAAACAAGCAAATACTTGGAGTTCCGTCGAGAACTTCCTTTTATTATTATTATTATTTTTTTAAGTGAAAAACATCGTGCAATTAATTTTGTTTGTTTATTTGTTGATTTAATGCTGAAGGACCTTCACCCGAACAGTTTGTTATTGGTAACGTTTTAACGTTATCAATAACAAACTGTTCAGGTGAATGTCCTGCAACACGGGCGTAAAAAATTATTTTCGTACAATAAAGCAAAAGAAACTGCCATCAGATTTATGCCTTATGTTTAGTGAGAATGTTAAATTTCAGAAATTGTCTTTTGATGATGTGATTGAGTAGTTTGCAGCTGATAAGAGTCGGAAGTTATAATATACAGTGGAACCTCGGTATACGACCTTAATCCGTTCCTGATGTTTGGACTTATACCAAACCAATCTTTCCCATAAGAAGTAATGTAAAAATGATTAATTAATCCGTTCTCATGTGAAAAAAATGGCTGGCTTTAACATCTCGTTTTCTTGGCTAGTTCCTGCTTGATTTTTCATGAGATCAGCATGTATCTTTTTAGCTTTCTCGCAAATAATTGGTTCTGATAGGATGTCGCCAGCGCACTGTTTTTCAGTTATCCAACCAAAAGCAATTTCTCAACATGATCTAATGTCTTCAATCTCTGTTTAGAACTTGATTTAACCCCTTTCACAACGTTAGCAGATTTAATAATATCTTTATTTTTCGCGATTGTCGATATCGTCGTTCTCGGAATACGG